AATTATGTTTAGCCTTTGAAAATACGGTAGCCTGTCATTAACTTTCAGTGGATTGTTTTGGACTAGCTGTTAGTGCAGTTGTGTTTGAGGGAGTGGGTGTATGTGCTGTGGCTGCAGGTCTGCACCTCATGCACGAACACCCCACACACAAAGAACCTTTTATTTGGACTCTCATGAACTCTATTAAGATTTATTAGTTCAGTGTTGTCCCCAGTGAACACAGCTGTCCTGTGCCAGACTGCCCTCTGTGAGGAAACAAAGCAGGGCATACAGGGAAAGTTGTGGGATATATGGTGAGAAAAACAAAACAGAAGGCAGGTGAAAGGACCCTAGTGTAAGGGGCACTGTTCCAAGTTCAATAGATCTGTAAGATTTTTATCCCATCGACATTTTCTGTGGTCCCAGTGCATTTAATTGTACTTAATAGAAAGATGGGTCCATGCACGGTGGTATTTAATAAGGATATTGATATTTATCAAAGTTGCAAGCGACAATTACAGCCCTCCCACCACTCTTTGTGACCAGGTGCCAGTATAGGACTCCAGACCACCCCTGTGTCACTTTCTAGTGACACAGTGGTAAAGCCTCTCTCTTTCAGCTTTGTAGGTCTAAGTATATGGCCCTGAGAGAATCCAAAACAAAGGAAATGAAGTGATTAACACAGCCACACACAAAAGCGCATGACAAGTAAATACATTTAATGTGTCTAGGTCTGGAATTTAAAAGTCGATGAAAAACTTTGGACTCAATCAGATTCACAAAAAGGATTTCAATGTACTGTGTTTGAGTGTCTATAGATGGCGCTGTAGTAGTGAAAAGAATGTTGCCGGTATTGAATTGATGTGAAGGGGCCACTATGGCATACAGTGCATTTGTGAATTCATCTGTAATTACTAGGAAACAATTTATTTTATTTTATTGAATACATTTCCTGCCCAGAAAAAGTTTCTTTGATTAGCAAATGGTTTTATTAATTCCCAGTGGGGAAATTTTAGTGTTGAAGGGTAGATTACAATAAGGAGACAAAACATGATAAATATTTCTAAATATTTGGAGAATTCAAATCAATTTAGAAGATGAATTCAAATCTGTTGTTGTCCTCTGTGCCCCCAGGACATGGATAGGGTCTGCCACTGCTAAAACTTCTGAACACAGGGCAAGTGCACAGTGAGCCACTCGTCATGTGTGAAGCCTGATGCCCACCCTGCCCTCAGTGCTGGCCATGGACGGGGAGAGCTACCTGCATCCAGACGGCTCTCAGCTGGACAGCAGCCTGTTCTCCACGGCCCCATCCAACATGGAGGTAATGCAACAACTTGACTAAATTTGTATTATTTAACTCAGGTGTCTCCAACCTTGTTCACCCAGAGAGCTACTTTCCTGGGACGATAAAGGCAGAGAGCTACTCCTTTAAGCTAACCCTGGTAAAAAGATTGTGATATTTTGGTGTGAATGAGTCTGATTATGTGTACAGTCTTATTTACCATTGCATATTTGTTACTAGGGCACCAAGTAAGTACATTTACAATAATGAATAATGATAATGAATAATACAATCTGAAATATTAAGTATATTATTTGATTTGTCCTCCTTTGGTGAGCTACCTGGAAGGGGGTGGCGAGCTACTGGTGGCTCCCGAGCTACAGGTTGGAGACCCCTGATCTAACTGATAAATGTGTTACATGTGCTCAACATTCTGGGTGAAAACAGTGAAAAACAAAGTCATTCATCTTCCATTTGATTACTATTCAATTTCATTCATCTGGAGAGTGACTTCAAGTTTAAATATCTCAAAATTAAAATCACTAGTTATGAGTAGATACTCTTCCTTGAGAAATGATATTCTACATTGCTCTTACATTTATATTAGATTAGACACTTATACACTTTAAAGTGTAAAAGTGTAAAACATTTGACAAATTTAATTAATCAATTGATTCATCCTCCAATAAAATTAGCCACTTTCATGCAGAAGAATTTGTGGAGGAAATATTGTGTGTAACTATTTATGTGTTATTTATTGAGCTTTTTAGCATGTAACTTGCAACTCTCCGTGCTTTTTAATTGCCCCTTGGGGATAAATAAAGTGATTGATTGATTGAACTATTCACACTGTTCCGACCGTAACACACCACCAACACACAGAGGTCTAAACCATGGATCTGAACTAGGACTGGTCGTGGACTTAACAGGACCTGTGTCAGGCCTAGACCAGAAATCAAGGCATTTTCCACCTGTTAATCTTGGTGCTACAATTGATGAACCTCACAAATATGAGAACATGAGAATTCGCAAGTCAATGCATCCACAAATTCTTTTGCCGTATGATTATAATAATCAAATATGGTGAATTACGAATGAGGTATTCATTTTTACATATACGTCTTTTTGTGTGCTTCAGAGTTCATTGTTAGCCTCTGGCCCCTGGGGATCCTACACTCAGTCCAATGGATACAGCCTACACCACCCTATGCAATCAGGAAATCAGTAAGTTCAACAGTATTATAAATTTTTTTTTTTTCAAAAGGATCCAAATGTTGTGTTGATCCTGTATAGGTGGTCACACTGATCACCGTGGCGTTAATCCCACCACAACCCAACCACAAGAATTTGTATTCACCCCTGAGAAGGTAGTTAGCTTGTGTTAGTGTAAACTTCCCTTGCCCTAATGTTAGCTTATTTTATGTAAGAAAAAAACAATAATATACACATAGGGTTAGGGTATGCGACACCCCTAGTTAATACTAAGTGTGTCATATAGTGAAATGTGTGTCCAAATGCAAAGTCAATGGCAGTCTATGGTTTCGACCCGCCTCCTTGGTTTGACAGCTATTAGTGGATAGCATAGACTGTAGTGGATAGGCGCTAACTAGCTGTAGTATAAAGTATATTATGTATGGCAGCAGATCTGCAGCTTTATTCGGTGGTGGAAAACGCTGGATTTAAACATTTAATTAGCGTACTTGATCCAAGAGAGATACGAATCAAATCTTGACCCTAAAATCCAAAATCAATCTAATCGAGGATTTGGGGAATTGTGACTCCTCTAATATTAACTCATTAAGAGAGTGCAAACATTGTATTTGCTTTCTGTGATGAATAGTCTGGTTTTCAGTTTTCTTTGGTCGCAATAATAAATTCAATTGCAACAGAACAGGTTAATTTGCACCTTCTCATGCCAGCCAGTTCAAATACCATATGAGCACCTATAGAAAGCATAGAAGTATTTCCTCCATCCGTAAATAAAGCTGGTCTTTACTGAATTGGAAGTTAAAACTGTTACTTGAGAAACGAATGAATAGAGGTGGGGGAAATATCTGATTCTTATATTAATCGTAATTCAGCCATGGAAGAATCGAGAATGATTCACAAACATCCAAATTCCGATTATTAAAATATGCCAAGTAAGGCAGAACTGAAATACAGTAAAGCGTGGCCTGAGCTACCCAACCCACCTTGCAGTGAGATCCGACCTGCTCCAGTCGCCTTGTACGCACAAGGCACGCTCCCCGCTGTGTGCCCGTACTCAAACACACACACACACATTTACCCACCAACGCTGCTGCACATTGGGAGAAAGACACTTGTACACATTGATTGCAAAGAGCACGTACCATGCTTGAGCTGGTTAGGCGCACAGTAGCCTGGTATAAAAACTGGAAGAGAAACGGGAACGTTAACACATACCTTTCCCTTCTGACCCTTTAGACCCTTCTGACCCTTTAGACCCTTCTGACCCTTTAGACCTTCTGACGTAATATTTGTTACTAAACATATGAAACACTAAAAGCAGCATAAAGCACCTTGAGAAGTATAGTAGAGTTCAAATGTTCATGCATTTCCATTCCAATGGATATTTTCATAAAGGTGAAAAAATATAATGGAAATTAATTTTAACTCTGGAAATGTGGAGAAAGTGCATCAATATAAATACATAAAAAATGCATCATAATCGTTGAATCTTGAAAAACTGAAAAAAATATAACATTTGCGAACATTCCTGATTGCTGCTTGTTGCGACAAAAGAAAGGTGTTCCTATACTTTGCATATTCTTGCATATTAACTTCAGACTGGTAATGCGAGAGCTCGCCTGTGCTTTTTCAGGTTAATTCATAAAGTGGATATGTCTGAAATAACTCCAGAAGTGTTCAAATATCCTGCATGGGCAAAAAATGTGGTCCAAATTTCACTAATAGACCAGAGCTGGTGCCGTCCCAATTCACAATCCTTGCCGCCTAGCCACTTGAGTCCCTGACATTCAAGTGTCAGGTCCAAGTGCGTTCATGTTACAAGTCGCTCTGTCCATCAAGTCAAAGTTCACGGACTTAGCCCTGTCTTAAATCTTCTAAACTCATATGCGTTCCTACCCCATCCTTGCTCCTACCTGCCCGGGTTTTGAGCCTCTTTTTTTGCACACAAAGTAAAAATCCTCCAGCTCTGGTAGTCCTGACACAAGCGGAGCAATGAACATCAGGAGATGGATGGTCTGGCGCTGTACTTATCACGCGACCACATGCTCCTGATGTAAGCCTTACTAGTGCATTTGGATGGGATCAACTGCAGAGTGGCTGACTTTTTCCCTACGAGGACTAAAATAGTGCACATTTAATTTTATATTAATATACCTACTCCCTTTAGCTGAGGCTGAGTCCAGCAGTTCAGCAAAGGTCCTCTTATCACTTGTATGCAGACAATCCTCAGCTGAACTGCGCTTTTAAACCTCCTCGAACCCCAGAGACTGGCTTTTTTCTTACTAACTGTCTGGGCCCAAATCAAGGGATGTCCCTAAAACAACTGATAAAAAAACTGTAACTTCCATTTACCTTACCATCTCTAAGCTCAGACATGTGTTTCCACAGGTCCAAAGGCGGGCGTATTGATTGTCTTTTACTAATACCTGCCAACGCATGGATGTGCGTCGAATGGCCGCAATTGACGCACGTTCACAGAAATAAAGCCTCTTAAGTTTTTAAGGAATCTGCTTGTAACCTGCCCCTGTTATGCCGCAAAAGGCAGGGCGGAAGTGGCTGGCACCCCCCCCCCCCCCCCCCCCCCCCCCCCCCCCCCCCCCCCCCCCCCCCCCCCCCCCCCCCCCCCCCCCCCCCCCCCCCCCCCCCCCCCCCCCCCCCCCCCCCCCCCCCCCCCCCCCCCCCCCCCCCCCCCCCCCCCCCCCCCCCCCCCCCCCCCCCCCCCCCCCCCCCCCCCCCCCCCCCCCCCCCCCCCCCCCCCCCCCCCCCCCCCCCCCCCCCCCCCCTGGCTTGATGCTATGAGTTTAAGCTAGTGCTTTTTTTTCTAACGTCTCTCCACCTGAGTGGCAGATTTTCGCGTATACCCCCCCCCCCCACCCCCCCCCCCCCCCCCCCCCCCCCCCCCCCCCCCCCCCCCCCCCCCCCCCTCCCCACCCCCCCCCCCCCCCCCCCTTTTCTGTAGTAAGACATTCATATTACTGAAGTATCTGCTCACGGATAGCTACGGGCCACTAATATTATTAATACCCGGTACTTCTCGTATCGGCGAACACGTTAGGCAGCACTTTGGTTTAAAGTCCGAGGGAACCAAGGAGACCAGATCCTTCCAGGCTGTATCTCCTCACGATCCTTTCATAAGGAGCTTCCCCTGTCTCATGCACATGTTAGGAGTCTAGTGGACAATTTCAAGTCACAACCTTATGACCTATTTGTTTAGGGCAGGAGTTCTCACCGCACTGTACAGAGCCCATCTGAAATTTGTGTTCACCGACTAGTCTGTATATTTGGTTTTTGAAACTGACTTTGTTTTTAATTTGTGAAGCCCTCCGTCTGTGAAAGGCGCTATCTACATGAAACTTTCCTTCGTTAGTTAATTTACTTACTTAGTATTTATGTTAGTATAGTAAGTAATCTTTATTTATATTAGCCGCCTTTCATAGGACCAGAGTCCACAAAGCAGCACCTTACGATTGTTTTGAGGACATTAGTGCTCTCAAACAGTCCTCACAGAGAATGGGATGGTGAGGTCGCCATACAGGATCTTAGGCACCCGCAGGAAATCCGATGGCAGACAAAGGGAGAACATTGCAAACGCCAACTCAGAAAAGGCACCCGGTCCGGACAGTGATTCTAATGCCAGGACCGTCCTTGCTGAGAAGCGGGAGTGGTATCCATTCAAGCTACCTGCGCATTTTATGATTTATTGATGGAATAATATCATAGCTTCAAGGCACAGTTAAATTCCGTGAAATTGATAGATCTTAACCGCATTAAGCTCGGAATAAAAATACTTCTGGCTGGTAATAGCAGATGTATTGTGGACACTTCATAAGCCCACAAGCGATATATCAGTTTTAAAGCTTATTTTGCCCAGCTCTATTTATATGGTAAGTGTAAACGATATCGACTTTGCATTTAAAAAGATATAATGGCATAAGATGGGCACAAAATAAATCGTGTTTTTATAACGTTATCTTACCTGTCGTCTTCTGGCTGCCTCCTACAAATTAGACTTTTTCCCCATCTGCTGCTCAGTCTCTTTTCCCTCCCGTAAGTCTTCAGTGGAAAAAGAATATCCACTTGTATTTCCCAAAGTATAATCCATTCTTCAGAAATAACCAAAAATTGCATGTGTTTTTGTTGCAAAAAAAAAAACGCTACCGAAAAATGTTCAGGCTTCATCTTTCCACATTTCACCAAGTTTTGGACTCATATCAACCGTTTCCTTGAGTCCTTAGCTTTAAAAGAGAGGTTCCAAGAAAAGATACAGTGCGAAAAGTATTCGGCCCCCTTGAACTTTCACATTTCGCCACATTTCAGGCTTCAAACATAAAGATATAAAATTTTAATTTTTTGTCATGAATCAACAACAAGTGGGACACAATCGTGAAGTGGAACGAAATTTATTGGATAATTTAAACTTTTTTAACAAATAAAAAACTGAAAAGTGGGGCGTGCAATATTATTCGGCCCCTTTACTTTCAGTGCAGCAAACTCAGTCCAGAAGTTCAGTGAGGATCTTTGAATGATCCAATGTTGTCCTAAATGACTGATGATGATAAATAGAATGCACCTGTGTGTAATCAAGGTCTCTGTATAAATGCACCTGCTCTTTGATAGTCTCAGGGTTCTGTTTAAGCAGAGAGAACCATGAAGACAAAGGAACACACCAGGCAGGTCCGAGACACTGTTGTGGAGAAGTTTAAAGCCGGATTTGAATACAAAAAAGATTTCCCAGCTTTAAACATCTCAAGGAGCACTGTGCAAGCAATTATATTGAAATGGAAGGAGTATCAGACCACTGCAAATCTACCTTATGGAAGAGTGGCAAGAAGAAAGCCATTTCTCAAAGATATCCATAAAAGTCTGTTTAAAGTTTGCCACAAGCCACCTGGGAGACACACCAAACATGTGGAAGAAGGTGCTCTGGTCAGATGAAACCAAAATCGAACTTTTTGGCCACAATGCAAAACGATATGTTTGGCGTAAAAGCAACACAGCTCATCACCCTGAACACACCATCCCCACTGTCAAACATGGTGGTGGCAGCATCATGGTTTGGGCCTGCTTTTCTTCAGCAGGGACAGGGAAGATGGCTAAAATTGATGGGAAGATGGATGGAGCCAAATACAGGACCATTCTGGAAGAAAACCTGTTGGAGTCTGCAAAAGACCTGAGACTGGGACGGAGATTTATCTTCCAACAGGACAATGATCCAAAACATAAAGCCAAATCTACAATGGAATGGTTCACAAATAGACGTATCCAGGTGTTAGAATGGCCAAGTCAAAGTCCAGACCTGAATCCAATCGAGAATCTGTGGAAAGAGCTGAAGACTGCTGTTCACTAAACGCTCTCCATCCAACCTCACTGAGCTCGAGCTGTTTTGCAAGGAAGAATGGGAAAGAATTCCAGTCTCTCGATGTGCAAAACTGATAGAGACATACCCCAAGCGACTTGCAGCTGTAATTGCAGCAAAAGGTGGCGCTACAAAGTATTAGCGCAAGGGGGCCGAATAATATTGCACGCCCCACTTTTCAGTTTTTTATTTGTTAAAAAAGTTTAAATTATCCAATAAATTTCGTATCCACTTCACGATTGTGTCCCACATGTTGTTGATTCAAGACAAAAAATATATTTTTTTTATATCTTTAATGTTTGAAGCCTGAAAATGTTGCAAAGGGTCAAGCGGGGCCGAATACTTTCGCCAGGTCACATGGGTAGAGCCGTCTTTTTCACGTCCGCAGGACCCTTGTGAAAAAAGAACAAACCGCATCCACTTGCAGAGGGTCCGTTGTTTGTCTTGTTGTTGATTACAGGCAATGTGCTAGCACTGACTGATTGGGATGTGTCTTAAGTAGCCAATAAAAAGAGCTTTCTCTTTTGATGGGTGGGACATGTCGAAACTCTATTCATTTTCCACAGTAAAAGCATGCGTACAGAACGCTGTTAAGACACTACTAAAAAAACATAATTTTGAAATAAATGTAAAAGACAAATCACACCAGATTTCGTAACTTATAAGTACCTACAACTACAAAAATAATGCCTTATTATGCTGGTGAAATGTTAGTTAAGCAGCTTTGGCACAATAGTGGCCCACCCATTTTGCGCCAAATTGGGTTGCCGATATGGCACAACTTGATAAAAAAAGAGAAACTGCATAAAAACCTATACAACTGAGAAGTCTGAAACTTTACACAGTTGTTCTCAACAACACAATGAACAAATCGCGTTGAAAATGTTCTTCTTCCAATGAAGTAGGCTTTTTTGGGTCATTTGAATACATTGAATTTTTTGGCGAGGCCAAAAAAAAAACAGATTTTTTCCCAAACTTCAAAGGATGCAGAGTGAAATAGTAATGACTACATTATTTTAGTGTATATTTACATAAACAAAGGGCCTAGCTTTAAAATGAGCCATCACACAAGCATGTGAGATGTAAGATGTGTTTTTAAATAAGCAAAGACATTTGGGGTATGCCCAAGACTTTTGTGCCACAGAGCCATACACACTGTGGTAGGAGTGTCAAGAGGACAAACAAAAGTAAAGAAAAATTAATAAAGGTGAGTTAAATGGAAAAATTACCTTGCAATTGGCCAGTTAATATTATGCAGTTTTTGTTATCATAAAACAATAAAATATGAATCTTTTAAAAATAATAATCTTAAAACAGACATTCTGTAGGACACCAACAGAGATTAATATTCTCCTTGAGAACCGGTGGGTCCTTTCTAGGATTGTTGGCTCTGCACTTTTGTACTAGTTGCAATTCGACTTTAGTTTTAAGTTTAGTCTGCTTCACGTGTGGTATCAAACAAAACATAGTAACAAGATCATATGACACAGAGTGTGTGTTGTGCGTGTTGAGAGTGTGTGGTGGGTGTGTGTGGTTATATTGCACAATCCTTGTAGCATAATATAATTTTTCTAAATATATCATCACTGTGATAACAGCATGTGCTGGGTCTGTGTGTGTTGGTACCTCCAGTGCATTTAAATGCCCTAAGCTTGCATACAAACACCAACGTTCCATTACATGGCTGTTAGAGATGCAAACCGTACAAGGAAATTACTTGCACATTACCATCATATACTTGCACACTTCGCCCCAGTTCTTATTTTGTAGAAAAAACATTGAATGACGTTGAACAAAAGAAATACGTTAAACACGCGAATGCGTTGTTAGTGATGGAGCATTTCTATTGTCATTTATGTGACGGATGCCAATAGAGGGATTTCCACGTTGTTCGTTTTTCATAGTGTAAAGATCTTGGGCCTCAATCACGAATAACAACGTAAGAACACTACTCAACTTTTCTTCTCAAGTTGTCTGCTTAAGAAGATTTCTACGATCAGTCCCCACGTGGGATTCATCAACGCACTCGGTAAGCCGCCAGAATTATGATCGCAGCAGGCTTTCTCACAGATTGATAGAATCCCAATTCCTCGTAAGTACGAGCGCGCGTGCCAGGTGCTTCATTAGCATAGGACTACTTAGCATAAGGTAAACCGCCTCACAAATGCCCCATATAAGGGACTGCAGGGCCCGTGTGCAGACGGCCTAACAGGCCTAAAGCAAAGAGTTACACTTCTTTTACCAGACTGAGAATAAAGTTATAAAAATGTTGACTTAAAAGTTCGAAATATTATGTTAATAGAGCAAAAAAACTATGCATTCTGAGGCCCATTCTACATGAAAAGTTAAAATATTGTTTTTTGACAGCATGAGGTTTTATGTATGTTAGATGATGTTTAAAATCTCAATGGTTATTGTTAACATACTGAAATGACCACGGGGAATACCAGCGTGTTTGTAGGCTTGGACTTTACTGCACATAACCCAACGTTTACATTCACTTCCTGTAGTGTCAAGGTACGTAGGCAGACAAACTAAAACAGACTCAGACCATATAGAACGATGTCAGAGGCAACCGATGTCAATATTCTACAACTCCTCCTTATCTAGATAACAAGTACAGTAAGCGTATAACCTTTACCACTTAAAATAGAAAACTAAAGTGGATACTTAATGCTACAGCAGTTTACTTAAAAGGGATAGTCTCTTGGGAGTCTGTGAGTACGCATTGGATAAACGCTCTCTCAGGTTGTTTAACCGCCGGGTCGCCCCAGCTCTAGGGAAGACCAATGCGTGGGGGTAGGGGCGGACCAGGGCTTGGCAAGACACCCCATGTCGCTGTCGGAGGCCTTTGCAGGTTCCGGCTGTCTTGGCGCCCCAAGCGGTGGAGCTAGGCAGGATCATGGTCTCTGGAGTAGCGCGGCAGTTGGCAGGCTCAGGTTCCCCCTGAGGCAGCGATGAATGAAGCAGGGAATCCACCATCTCGCTGCAGGCTGCGTACCTCTGACCCCGTAGTTGATCAAGGTGGCGTCGCCAGATAGTGTCCGGAGCTACTTCTACAGTGTAGGACAAGGGCCTTGCCTCTCTCTGATTATTACGGGAATCCACTTGTGTTCTCCACGGTACATCCTGGCAAGCACAAGTCTGTCCAAGTTCCAGTTGACTCGTTTCTCTATTGTGAGTCCTTTACCCTGTTTGATGAAGCTGAATGGAATCCGCCACATAACATCAGCTCCCTACCATCCGGCTACTAATGGGCTCGCCGAGAGGTTTGTACAAACTCTAAAACAAGGGTCTGCGAGCCTTTGCGGATGCACCATTTCTCTCTCTCAGAGAGTTAGCCAACGTTTCCTGTTTTGCCTACCGTTAACGCCACTCATGCTACTACTAATCCGATCCCTGCCATGCTGTTCCTGGGACGGGGGCTTGCGCTCAAGACTGGGACCTGCAAAGCCGAACAAACTGCGCCGGACGGTAATGGAATCGTCAGGATCAAGCAGGGTAAAGGGACTCACAATAGAGAAAACGCGTTCAACTGGAATTGGACAGGACTGTGCTTGGCCAGGGATTACCGTGGAGAACACAAGTGGATTCCCGGTATAATCCAGGAGAGAGGCAAGGGCCCTTGTTCCTAACACTGTCAGAAAGTAGCTCCGGACACTATCTTGGCGACGCCACCTTGATCAAACTACGGGGGGTCTGGAGGTACGCACTGCAGCGGAGATGGTTGGATCCTGCTGCTTCATTCATCGCTCTGCTCAGGGGGGACCTGAGCCTGCCAACTGCCAGCGCTACTCCAGAGGGGACCATGAGCCTGCCTAGCTCCACCGCAGGCCAAGACAGCCGGAACCTGCAAAGCTCCCGACAGCGACATGGGGTGTCTGCCAAGCCCTGGTCCGCCCCTGACCCCACGCATTGGTCTCCCTAGAGCTGGGGCGGAGCCGGCGGTTACACCTGAGAGACGTTATCCAATGCGTACTCACAGACCTCCCAAGAGATATCCCTTTAAGTAAACTGCTGTTGCATTAGTATCACTTTAGTTCTATTTTAAGTGGTAAAGGTTATACTGCTTACTGTACTTGTTATCTAGAGAAAAGGAGGAGTTGTAGAATATTGACATCGGTTGCTCTGACATCGTTCTATATGGTCTGAGTCTGTTATGTTGTCTGCCTACGTACCTTGACACTACAGGAAGTGAATGTAACGTTGTTGTTATGCAGTAAAGTCCCAAGCCTACAACACGCTGGTATTCCGTGGGTCATTTCAGTATTTAACAATAACCATTGAGGAATTTTAACATTCATCTAACATACATATAAAACCTCATGACTGTCAAAAAAAACAATATTTTACTTTTCATGTTAGAATTGGCCTCAGAATGCAGTATGTTTTGCTCTTTCACCTCCTCTGCCTTTCACTTTATGTACAGTGTTTTTTTTTTTACCTTTAAACATGAATTGGAGAATTTTTTATATACTGCAAACACCTCTCCTTTTCGAATGGGCAGACATCTTTGAAACTTAGGGACATGGGCTCTACTCTGCAATGTCTGAATATGGATACAAATTCTTCATAAAACACTGTAGTTTTACTTTACATCACTTAGAGAAAATATGAACACTATATTCATCCTTACAGTAGTACTAGAATTTAATATGCTGCTATCCAGAATATATAACTACAATATGTGTTCATATATATTTCGGGTGTTCAATGTTCAGATGAATTATGTTAAAAAAAACTGCTTTGAAGTGGGCACCTTTTCACTTCCGCATAGAAACGCTAGGGGGAGCCAAAATGGAGGCGATGACGTAGGAGAAGGGTATTCTCACAGCAGCAGACAGCAGTCTGGGCTGAATCTGTAGGAGGGTTTCACTGTCAGCTTATTAGTGTTGGGCAAGTTAGCTAACTCTACTTGATATCATAAAACATGCTAACAAGGCTAATATTGGTTTTTTACATTATGCCAGTCTCACTTTGGTTGCCTTAGATTTATTTACCACAATGTACATTGTAATATCCATAAATGCTAACACCCATTAACGGGTTTTAATTAGAATTTTTATCAATGATTGCATCACATGTAGTCTATGTTTTTCATCCTTCTGCCAGCTTTTTGTTCATTAAAAGTAAAATATTTATTTAATTCAAGTTATTTTGATTAGCATTTATGGATAATTACAATGTACATTGTGGGTAAATAAATCTAAGGCAACCAAAGTGAGGACTGGCATAATGTAAAAAACGAATGTTGCCTTGTTAGCATGTTTTTATGATATCAAGTAGAGTTAGCTAACTTGCCCAACACTAGTTAGCTTGAATCTCACAAATAAGGCTAAAAGGTTTTTAAAAGAGTTGCACACTATTATGTACAAAACGGATGAAAATATGTTTATACCTTGTTCAGATGACAGTGAAACCTCCTACAGTTTCCAGCTAAGACTGCTGCTGCTGCTGTGAGATACCCTTCTCCTACATTCATCGCCGCCATTTTGGCCTCCTCCTAGCGTTTGTGAAAAGGTCCGATTTCAAAGCTGTTTCTTTAACTTAATTCATCTGAACATATCAAAATGAACACCCGAAATATTATAAACACATATTGTAGTTATATATTCTGGATAGCAGCACATTAAATTCTAGTACTTTAAAGTTTTTTTTTTTTAGGGTAAAGACAAAATAATTTAATTACTAACGTTTTTATAATGTTCAAAATGGGGGAAATTAGTTAATCTATACAGTTTAAAATAATATTGTTATTGCCCTAATAGAAATCCAAATGATGTTAATTTGATAGTCCGACCCCCAGAGCTTGTGGTACGGGTGTGGCTCGTACAGTAGTTAGCCACCCCTGCCCTAACACTGGTTGACCCTGGTTGTCTATAACATTGATTTTGGACTCTTGAGTCTAGACCTTCCTGCAGAGCACACCCTGGGTTCTGCATGGCTCCTGATGGGGTTTGCCAGCTCCAATTGTTAGATCCCTGGCCCTGATCAGCATTTGTGTATGGGTCTAACCTCGCCAGACAGTGACCAGACCGCAGCCATGGCTACTAAAAGCTGAATAAAAGATTTTAATTTAGGCAAGAGAGTGCAAGAGCGCTAGGGTGTGCATCTCCTCTGACTAGTCTACAAAGTGTTTCAAGGGGGGGGTTTTACAGCAAATGGCTCTGGGGGGTCGCACTATTGAAACATAGTCCTTCAAGAACCGCTCCACGGAGGTTTATCCAAGGTAAAAGCTGACCAAACTATAAAACGAGAGCAGACATCTTCCCCATCTGGAGACGCGTATGATCCCAAGATGTGGTGTGGAGGTGTACGAACCCCATGTGGACGGGGATTGAAAAAAAAAAAAAAAAAAAAAAAAAAAAAAAACCAGGTCCTCCCCATCCAAGGGTATAGGGAAAAAAATCTGCATCTCTGAACTTAAAATGTGAATGCGGCCAATCAGAGAGAAAAAACTTGCATTCTTTTGAATATATTAATTCACTTCAAAAGCAAACCACATTGATCTGGGTTGTATATTTTGTACATTTGGCCCTCTGTTTGCATTTTGATGCTTTTTATCTGCTTTGGGGAAAAAAGGCAAATCCACTCTTCCGATTGTTAGCACATTGGACACTTTTAAAGTGAGAACTTGCTGTTTTTTTTTAAGTTTATAAAAAACAACTATAAATTCATTATACAGAGTGTGAATTTTCAGACCATTTTTTTTTTTTTTGCATTATGAATTGGTTTGAGTGGCAACATTTGTAACAATATGAGTTTTCATAACGGGAAAATTGTAAATTCATTCATAATCACGATGGTTTATGTTAAAAAGTGCATTGTAAATAGACCAAAACAATAAATTGAGGGCAAACAGATTGTTAAATCATTCTCATAATAAACTTCAACAAATTACAACAGAGAAATAAAAAAATACAACAACATAACATAATTGGTACACATAACTTAACTGGAACAAGGGAAACATTTTTTTTTTCAAACTAAGGAGGGCTCTAAATACCAGGAGGCCGACTAACCCATATTATCCACCAAAAAGAGGAAAGGCTTAAAGTGAAATGCAGACTTTCACATTACCTCTTAAACTCCTACATCTGTTTTGGGCCCCGTGCACCAAAAGTTTGGGCATAATCAAATGTCTTTTGCTTATTTAAAAAACCACATCTTACATCTCACATGCTAAAGCTAGGCCTCTTCTGGTTATGTAAATATTACACTGAAATAATGTATGTCATTCCTATTTCACTCTGCGGTGTGTGGAAGTTGGGGAAAAAAAAAACAGTTTTTTTTTTACCTCGGCCTAAAAAAAATGCAATGTTTAAATGCCCTAATAAAAAAGCCTTACTTCCATGGAAAGAAGAAAACATGTTTTCCCCGCTTAATTTTGTTCATTGTGTTGTTGACCAACAACTGGGTAAAGTTTCCAGACTTCTAAAGTGTTATAGTTTTTTATGCAGTTTCTGCCATTTCGGAACCAATTTGGACCAACTTTAGCCAAATTTGTGCCAAAACTGCTTTTACTAAATTTCACTATCATAAAAAAAAGCATATTTTTTTGGTTTTTCGGTTACTTATACTTACAAATCTGTTTGTGATTTTCTTTTACATTTTTTTTTTTTTTTTTTTTTTCAAAAATTTAAAAAATATATAAAATATTACTAACCGTTGTCTTTACGCACGCTTTTACTGTGGTGAAAATTGGAAAAAAAAGAGTTCCTACAAGTCCCCCCCATCAAAGAAAGCTCTTTTTGTTGGCTACTTAGACACGTCAATCATTCAGGTGCTAAGCACATGCGGCTTAGCCCTTTAATCAACAACAGGCAAAAAAAAAAAACGGAAAACCCTTCTCTGCAAATGGATGCGGTGTTTTTTTTTTTATGGGTCTTTTTCACAAAGGGTCCTGCGGACTGACAACCTACTCTATCTTTTCAGGCACCTCTCTTTTTTAAAGCTTCAGAAGGACCTCAAAGAACACGTGGATATGATGTTTTGTCCGGGGGTAAACAAAAGTTCAAACTTGGTTGAAAAAAATGTGAAAGAGAGCCTTGGAATAACATTTTCGGAGTAGCGTTTTTTTTGCAACGGAAAAAAATGCATCATTTTTGGATTCTTTTGAAGATTGGATATCTTTGGGAAAACATACAAGTGGAATTCTTTTTCACTGAAGACTTACGGAGAGGAGAAAAGTGACTAAGCAAGGATGGGGGAGTAGGAAAGTTCTATTTGTTAGAGCAGCAGAAGACCAAAGGTAAAAAAAAAAACGTTATACAAACACGATTTATTTTGTTGCCCATATTATGCGTTATATCTTTTTATGCAAAGTCTATATCGTTACTCTTACATATAAACTATTGCTATATAGATATTATAGCTGTGGCTTATTATGATAAGTTCAAAATACAAATGAAGCTGAATGCGCCCCCCCCCCCCAAGGTTCAGGACTGAAAAGACCGAGTGCCTTGCCAGCCTCGAGCCTCAGCCATCACACAGCTCTGCCTAAGCCTCGGCCTCAGCCAATCACACAGCAGGCCAGCCTCCTGCCACCCTCTCGAGCAAAGCGGGGCAAGTTAAAAAGGGCCAGCCACTTCACAGACAAAAACAACGCTTCCTGAGGCTCTTAAAACAGCCCTGTTCATTCCCGCGCGGGGCTGCCCTTCCTACGCGGGGCTCGTCATCTCAAGCGGGCAGGGCGTTTTTTCTTCTTATCTTTGTTTTGTCTTTGTTTGGGCATGCGTCTGGCGTCACACAATGGCCACCCGGCACCCCACGTGATGACCCTCATCGAAAGGTTTCGTTAAATTGCTCCTCAGCTTGGGACTGGAGATAGGAGCGAGGATTAGGAGGAGAAGGACCAAGGTCTCTTGGTCCGTGTCCTGGTTCTTCTGTCCGTCCCAAAACAGGGTGTGCTCTTCCGGCTGGGCCGCC